GTCACCCTTGGCTTCTGAGAAAGATCTCTCACTGGATATTCAACCTCGGGGACCAGAGAATTACTGTAATGCACTGGGCCGGTTCGGTCTCCATATCCTTCTTTTGTTTGTTGTAATTGAATAAACAAATCTGGTTATGAGAGACAAAAAAAAAACATCAAACCAAATTTGGTCGCAACACGATGCACTCTCAGTAGTCCGTTAGCCTGGACTGGCCCCGCTCAGGAAGGATCCCGAGGGACGCCATGGTACGTCCAGAGGCGGTACATCCTCCATAACGTGCCAAAGCCTAAACTGCTTATATTTCCAGCTAAGCAGCCTTTGAATAAGGAGGCTCTGAGATTCCTTGAGCCAAATCAAGGCATAAGCAAACTAAGTGGCTGCCCGATTCCAGAAGGGAGGTTCAAAGAGTGTTTAAGAAGATACATCTCAAAACTTATCAAGAATTAGCCGTCATTTTTATTTCCTTCAATGTTTTTTGGTTGTCGTGATCTGACGACAAAACGAGTTTCCATATTCATAAGGAGTTTTAAAGCTCAAATCTAGAGCATTCTGGGCCAAATATTCCAATATAGTTATAGAGTCGAATGGGACCATCAAAACTGCAATTCTGGCCCCTGTAATGTGGTTCTGATTAGCACTGTTACTCTGATGCCAAGAGACATAAACACTAATTTCTCCACATATTTGTGTCACCAGACTCTCCTTCGTTATAATGTAGTAAAGGCAAGTTTTCCTTGTCTCCGCATGATCAGTTTGTGTTTCATTAGTGAGGACAAAGGGGAACTATGGTTATGTAGCTGTGGTGAAACTCTCTGGGAATTCTGAGGACGTCATCTGTACTTTGACTCAACCTCTCTCCATCTGTATGGAAGTTAGTTTTCCCACACACACAAAAAAAACATGGAGTTTGGCCCTAAACTGTCACTTTAATCTAATTCCACACGTGTTGAATGGAAGGAAGTTAAAATAATCACGGCCGGGACAGCTGTGGTCAAACTTTGTCTTCTTTATTCCACTTGTTTTGCTCACACAGAGAAAAATGGCTACAACCAATCATTTTGGATACACCTGTTTGAAGAACCTTACACATCAGCAGATGTTTTGTACTGACAAAGAACACAGAAAAATATAAACCAGGCCAAAAATAATGATTTTTTTTTCTCCATCTGATGAACTTTACACTCACAAACAACGCATGTTGTTACTAGTGTCACGCTGTGTTCTCATTCCTCAGCTTTGGGCTGTTTGTTTCCTGCAATTCAAGATTCTAACTGGTTTATAATCCTGATACAAAAATTGAGAAACGTTTCTTTGGTTTGGTAGTTGAGGAGAAATCCATCCACATTGTTTCTCATAGATGATCTTTGATGCAAAGGTCCTCACTGTATAAATTTTTACAGGCACACGTCTATTCTACATATTTTCGTTAAAGTAACATTTTAGTCAGGAAAGAAAATCGTCTTCTGATTACTGTCAAACATTTCCAGATGCTGCTGTTTACAGACATCATGTCCTCATGCATTTATGATAATGACATATCTGGTCTGGAGGGAGTGACTCTTTTTTTTAAATTATTTCTGGAAAATGCTATTTAAAATCAGTCATATATTTTGCCAACCAATGGAAAGACAGATTCAAGGTTAACTTAATTCCGTTGTTGCAATATTTCTACGTGTTCTGGTATTAAAATATATTTGCTCTTTAGCTGAAGCCCCCCCCCCCCGCCCCCTCACCCCCTCTGCCACCCAAGTTAAAATCTGCTTTTGGCCCCATACAACCTTTGACCGGCTCTGGGCTCTCCAGTTATGTTCACAGTAAGTGTTCACATACAGTAAAAATGGGCCTATCATTATGTGCCTTACCCAAAATGTCTGGACATTTAAAAATAAATAAATAAATAATTAATAATCAATCTTCTATGACCTGATGTGGCCTGTTTTTTTTGGTTTTTTTTTTCTTTTTGTGTGTGTTTTTCTTACATTACTAGAGGAGGTAGTCTCGGGACAGTTCCAGCCTTCCCGTGCCGACTGTCCCGCAGCTCTTTCCTCTGATCCCTCCCGGTCAGGAATCTACGCCACGGCTCTAACGCACGGCCGTGCGCTTGAACCGTGCGCACGGATCCGTGCCAAACGCTTCGCACCGTTTTTCGGCTGACCAGACAACTAAAGCCTACGCTCGCACCGTTTTTTTTTTTTTTTTTTTTTTTTTGCCTCACGTGCGGCCATTTTTTTGTTACCCATCTGAGCCCATTCATTGTGGGGCGCGCACACTTCCAAACCGTGCGTCAGATCCTTCCCCGTTAGATGGTAGAAAGGACAACCCCGACATAAATCCAGAACAGGATGTAAGAGCAAAACATGTTCCGACAGCGCAGAGAGCCTCTGCTTCTGTCAAACTCTGCCGCCGCCGCCGCCGCCGTTGCTGCGCCTCTTACCCGCGCCAAGTGTCTTTGTCTGACATTTCAACACCAATTTATGAATGACTTCAGGAGCGTCCTCGAGGCAAGACTTACCTGTGAGTCGCGCGCAAGAGTTCGCGGTGGTCCACGGCTTGTCCCGATCGGACATTCACATCCACACCCGCCCCCCTCTCTTCAGCTGTCTGTCCTGGTCCCGCAGCAGACTGCCGACACCAGGATGCCAATCAAACAAGCAGGCCACGCCCTTGCTTCGACGTCATGCCGCACAGACCAATAACAGCGGTGACATATTACAACCATTACTTATAGTATTTAGTTCTTAACGCAAGTCGCGGACCATTCAGATAAATCCACCTGAGAATAACAGTGAATATCAATTATGAACTAAGAGTGCGTGAGAAAGCTTATAAGAGGAAGTTGATAAATTGTTAAATTAGCGCGTGCGTCAGAAAAAATGAAAACGTACTCCGTACATATCACAAAAAGTGACTCGCTTTTAAAAGATGCCGAACAGAAAAATGAGGAAGCAAACAATAATTTCAAAAACACAATACTTCCTCTTTACACCGTCGATCTTATGTATTGGTACCTATTCACAGTTTGCAGTCATCTACAAAGTGCTTTATTGGGATTTTAATACAGACAAAGAATGCAATACAATCAACAAAGCAAGTGGAGGAGAGGCTCAGGAACAAAACCAAACCTTTTGGGCGACCGTACCGCACATGACCCATTAAACGTGGTGGTAATAGTGTTTCTGTGGTAAAAACAGAATTTTGTTCAGAGTCATTTTATTGTGAAACCGTGTTACTTCTTTAAAAGTAATGATGGTTAAGTTTGACATCTCTTCCATTAGATTTAATGACCTTAGAATAAACTGTGCTGCCGGTGGTTAAAGGGATTGTAGAAAGAAGTCTAACGAGACTTTCAAGTAGTCAGAGTCATTGTTATCTTAGCGAATTTTGATAAACGTCTCTGATGCTTGCGGTGAAATGATGCACCAGTTCATTTTTTCAGGTTATCCCTCGAGTATTTGTGTTTCAGACTGCTGTTTGCACCTTTAACTGCAATGTCATGCTGGATAGCAATAGCCACAAGTTTTCACTGGAAAAATAAATGTTTTGCCAATGTTAGGCACTTACCCTTCAGGCCACAAGAGGACGCCATTAGCTGCAAAGGAGAATTGCTCGATGATTTCTACAACATATTTATTTATTTATTTATTTATTTATTTATTTATTTATTTATTTATTTATTTTTGATTTCCAGCCGGTATTTAGCTGGTTTTTGGTGTATACGGCGGGGCTAGCTAGATGATTTTGAGTAAAAGGCAAGGTGTGGCTGCACAGGTTCAGACTTGAGCTCAAGAAACTAAGGAGTGCGTTGGGATGAGTAATAATCTAACCCTACCAGAAAGTTCAAATAATTTTACAAGAGAAAAGCGACACATGGCACACTAACTGTATATGTTTGTATGTATTGTAGATCTTTTGTATGGAGTTTTAGGATTAAATATTTCCTTTAGAATAACTTAGTTATAGATTCATTTATTCATGAAAGGTCAAGGAAAGATTTTGCTTCTTACTTGAGTTGTATTTGTGATAACTGAGTAGTTTTTAAAATTCTGCATACCTGTATGGTTAAATTGTTCCTTTTTTTTCCGCTGTTTTTCGTTTTATTTTATTTAAGTCAAATCACATCTCCTTTGAATTTTTACTACGCTTCTTAAATAAGACGCCAGGAAAAAGAAATTTGCTTTTTTACAGAGTTCTTCTGTCTATGCCTCTTTGATAGACTTTTGAGATCATGAAGAAAAAAAATTCAATATCAGACAAAAATAGACTGAGTAAATACAATGGTCTTAAAATTATGATTTCATTCATGAAGATAAGAAAACAAATCTAAAACGTATGTAAAAAAAAAAAAAAAAGTAATCTACCCTCTTGAAACATTACGACTTAACTTCAGTTGACCACATTTTTGTGATTCAGTTTCATTAGCAACACCCAGACCTGATAACTGGCTGACTGTACCAAGAAATTAGCTAAATTTATCCTACCAGACATTTCACGATGATAAGCTAAAATCTGTCAAATAGCAACATGTTAGGAAAAACAAAGGTAAGGTAAGGAGGTCTAGTCAAAGTCTGCATTTAAATGTAATTTAGATGTTATGGCATGACCTTAAATTAGATCCTCAAAGATCATTCAACATTGCCTAACTGGAACATTCCCTCCACAGCGACGTAAAAGACTGCTAGTTATTCCAAACGTTTGACGCCAGCCGTTTCCATGAAGAGGGGGAATTTTAGACATAAAGGGACGGGTTGGTTTGCTTAACTTTTTTCCCTTAATCAAGGGGGGAAAAAAATCATCTGAGAATTGTGTTTTGTATTTACTCAGATTAACTTTGTCTGAAACATTTAAGTATGACAAAACAGCAAAAAACTGAGGAGGCTAGACGGAGGCTACCAGTTTTCTATGACACGCTACACAATTCTGCAATTACACAAACGAATCACTGAACTGAACATTTAGTAACTTATGCATGCGAGTTCCTCATCAAATAGATGCCAAAATGCTTTTGTTCAAACAGTAATTGTTTAATAGCACAAATATACAATACAGTCAACACGCCACCTCCTCCAGGTCTTATTGGGGTTCCCAGACGATTTAGCTACTTTACAGTTCCATGTACTGTAAGCTGTGTTCATTGTAGCTTATGCACGCAGAGAGAGTGAGATAAGCTATGTGGCCGTTCAGACAGGCAAACGGGTACAGAGACAGAGCGGTTATCGGGCGGTGCAGGGCGGCGTGAACCGACAGACGTGTAGACATCAGAGGTGACCGAGGTGGACGCCCATCACCACAACGACGGGTCGTATCTGGGGAGAGAAAAGGCGAAAGAGAAAGATCAGCTTCCCGTCACGCCTACGGAGAGCGGAGTCTCACCGAAGTCCATACATGCCTTGACTGTGGGAGTGTGTCTCTGCTCTCCTTCAGCAGCAGCTCTGAGACCAGTGTGTCCAGAATCTCAGGACTGGACCTCTTTCCATACCTGAAGCACACGAGAATGATGGTTTCAGAATCCAAACGGACTCGGCATCAACATTGTCAGTAATTGCAGTCATATATATATAATTTCTTTTACTGAAGAGGTACAAAGAAAAACTCTCTTTAGTGTAATCGATGTCTAATTATAAGCTCAGTGTCCACCGAGCACGGTCAGGCCTTAATCTCGGGAAACAGAGACACGGGCTGCATCAACGGGAGGTTACACATTCCCTTTCTGTGCTTTTGATGATAAGTCATATCAGGACCGCAGGTATCCTGGAGAGGCTCGCTGCCTGCAGAAGCTTACCAAATCCCCGACATTCAGAACAAAGCGGAAAGCCGTGGGGGACTTGACGGAAAAGTCCTGGCAGTGATAGGAATTCTTCTTCTTTGTTTTTTTTTTTCTTTTTACCAACAGGTGGTAGAAAATAGAATAGAATAGAAATGGGGGGCGGGGGGAATCTATTCAGTTCTACTCCAAATGAAAATGAATTAACTATATAGAAAGAAATATAGATTTGGTTGGTCTTATGACAACTCGTGCTATAAAGGATTTATAAAATGAAAAGAAGAAAAAATATTGTTTTCTATTCAGGTTCTATTATGTTAAATTGAATACATCCAATTTAACATTGGATGTTATATTTGAAACAAACCAACATAGCACATTACTACCTATGACATAGCAACTAACACTGCAGTGGCTGTATTATATTTTGTTTTGTTTTTTTTGTTTGTTTGTTTGTTTGTTTTAATTGAAACAGAATTTTCAACAAGTTTTGTAAAGAAATGTTTTGCTTTATTCTGTTTTCCTCCTGAGTTTTGTGCAAAGTCAAATTTAATAATTGCTTAATTGAATTAATTGATTAATCACCTAAGTAATTTCTAGACAGACAGACAGACAGACAGACAGACAGACAGACAGACAGACAGACAGACAGACAGACAGACAGACAGACAGATAGATAGATAGATAGATAGATAGATAGATAGATAGATAGATAGATAGATAGATAGATAGATAGATAGATAGATAGATAGATAGATAGATAGATAGTTTATTTGTTTCTGCACTGATTTTTTTGTGCAAAGTAATTAACAAAAATTTTGCCTGTATCATTTTGAGTTTGCCACCTTGAAACTAGTTTTTTATACTATTCCAGTCTATCGTTTTTGATTTGTTCACCTCTGTCTTGTGATGAGGTTGATGTAGTGTCTCAGGGCTGAGTAATACTTGGCCAACTCCTCCGCCGGAGCGTCCTCCCCGGGGTTCTCCGGTTTCAACGGGTACCCCTGCGTCAAGGCGCCCAGGCAGACCAGCGCCCACAGCAGGAACCCCAGCGTCCCCAGCCAGCTCACCAAGTTGGGATGCATCTGTCGCAGAGAAGACAGAACCAGTCCATACCTGACTTCTTCTGTACATGACTACTCTTCTGCACTTTGTCTTAACGCTCCGAGCTGTAGGCTTGGAGATATTACCAAATAAAGGAACGCATATGTTTAAAAACATGCCGCAAAAAAAAAAAAGGGGGGGGGGGGGGGCTCAGCCAAACTTTGACGGAAGATAATGTGAAAAATTCAAAGGACTTACATTTTTCAGAAGGTCTCAGTGAGGTTTGCGCGTCGTCCTGTTGATTCTCCTCTGCTCCTCTGCGCGCTCGTTGCGCGCCATGGGGTTTATATCAGTGCTCGCCAGACGCGCGCCAGAAAAAAAAAGAAAAAAAAAAAGAAGAAAAAAAAAGCGTCAACGCTTCACTCTGTTTGGCACGGGTCTTTGCCTTCCTTCATGTGAACGTCACTGCTGATGCTCTAATTAAGGTGTGTGTGTAGTGTGTATTAATATAACGAAAAAGCAAACTAAAAATAGAGTAAGATAACAAACGTTGTTTCCTATGAGAAAAGGAGCTTTTCAAGGTAGATGCTGATATGCAGGCGTAAAAAAGCAACTTTTCTACATTACTTATATTGAATTATATAAATGAATATAACTTAGCGGGGGGGATGAAATCTTAAGTTATTTTCCGTGTGTGCACGAGAAGCTGAACTAAACACACGCAGAATCTGATGTTTTGAAGCTTATTGAAGTTCCTTCATGGAGGAAGCGAGTCATAAATTATTTCACAATCAAGATTATTTTTCAAAACAAGATCAATCCTCAAATCAAAAGTCGCAAAAGAATGCCGGCGACGCATTCACTTTGGGCCCAGTTCAAATGGAGCTACTCCACTTGGCCCATCGTCACCAGAAAGACGCCTTGGGTGGCGCCGGACAAAAAGATCTCAAACTGGCTCACATGTACGGGGCTGAATTAGGGCATTAATTTCATTCTGCGGCACATTGCATCACACGAAGAAAGAGAGAGACTGTGGCTCTCGAGGTGAACAAAAGGCACAAATGTGAACGCGGAGGCGCGTCGACGAGGAGCCCGATCTCCTAGAGGCCCACTTAATAAGAAAACCCAAATAGCAGTTCGCAGTGAGTCTGTATCACCAAGAGCTTCATTTACCTCCCATTCATAATCCTTTTGTGCTGGCAGCTTGCAGCCGTGTAATCTGTCAAAAATCATCATTCTTCGGCACCGCTGCTTTCTAACTCCCTCAGAGGATGTGTTGAGTGCTTTTTTTTGTATGGCACAGGATGCAAAGAGGGAGATGAGGAGTGTGACACAAGCGAGAGAACCGCGGAGCGGCGGAGTCACGACTGACTGGAAAGGAATTAGTAGATTCACTCCTCTTCAGGAGACACATGCGTCCTTGAAGACTCTCTTCAACAGGTACATCGTCATTCAGGAGGGAAGCGGCGTGAGCCTATATACGTGGATGGCTGACACGGTGATTGAAGCAGATGTGTAAACATGGTGGACAAAAAAAAAAAACGCTGAAAGATCAGAGAGCTTTGATGGAGAAATTCATCTCCAGGAGGCTTTTATGTAGACTTTTTTTTTTTTTTTTTAGTTCCAGGGTTTCAGACAGAGGTGACCAAATGCGTGCCCTCTACATCCACAGCTCAACTACTCTTAAGGCAAACGAGTTAAAACAGAAGTCCCTGTATTCAAGGAGTTTTCGGTCATACCGGAAACTTTAAGAAGTTGTGCTTTCGAGGTAGACAGATTGAGTCTGGTGTTCTACTCCTTGCATTTCTGAACTGTAAATTTCACAGAGCTCCATAGATTTTCAGTGGATTGGAAATGCTTTTGCAGACCTCCCCTGACTTTTGGTTTTCCGTGATCCTTTCTCAGAGCTACTGTGAGTGTTCTTCAAGTTACTGATCATCAAGAGGCAGGTTTGGACACGTCTGACATCAACGAGGTGGACCTCCGTGGAACTAGAGCAGATAATAGAAACAGTACGAATATGTTTGACCTTTTGCCATTATTTAATTGACCTTTTTGTGTTTGATCTGTTGCATACTAGCCATGTCATTTAATGAAATGCTTTGACGTTGCCATGTGATAAAATGTGATAGCGTCCATCTTAGGACAGTACGAATTCAGAAATACAGAGATTTAGCGTGAAATGTTCCCTAATGCTGGCGACAGAATTACACCAAACGATCCAGTGTTTACTGTGACAGCTTGTGTAGGCCTGAGATGTAAAGCCCCCAACGGAGCTCAGTTTGATGAACCCTGAACAAAATGCGTCTGTCACACAGTGGATCAGTCAACACACATACACACACACACACTAACTCCCTGAGAACAAAGTAAATCACTGTCATGTAAGACACACACCTTCATGTCACAGGGCTCTTCCAGTTTGAAGGAAGCAATACAGTGGCTAACATAGAGAGGCAGTGGAACTGGTTTGAGCAACAAAAAGAAAAAGAAAAGAAAGATTACATGCCAGTCAAAATGGCCATGAAAAAAGAAAGCGCATTTAGTAGCATGACCTGAAGTGGTGTTTTTCTTTATGCCTTCGTCGTTCTCTGACACTGTTGAGGTGATCTGGAGTTCCTTGAGGTTTGACGTTATTTGTTTCTGCACACCTCGGGCTCCACTCCAGCACTGCGATCGGGCTAAGATCCGGACTTTGACTGAGTCATAGCAGCGCCCTGACTGTTTTCTGTTTCAGGTAGATTTGTGGTTGACAATAACTGTCAAATATTTGAGCTGTTGTGGACAGATGTCATCAGATTTCACTATGAAATTGCTTGGTGTACATCGTGCAGTGCGTAACAATTGCCAACCACCCAACCAGCTTGTTTGTACCACAACAAGCTTTTTGGGTGTCTGCGGCATGTTGTGTTTTTTGGTTAAACTTCTCTAGTTTGATCTTTTCTGAATCCGCCGTCCCACTTGTGAATCGCTGTCCTCAGAGTAGAATGTCGCATTACAAATGGCCTTTTAATCTTTACCAGATCGATGTGCAGTAGTAATTGCTACACTGAAGAGGTGAAGGGGTCTAATTAGTTTATTGCATGACTGAAACCAAAACAGTGAAGGATTTTTTTTCCCCTCATGCTACCATATGCTGTTTAATTGATGTAATAATGAAATCAAACACTTTCTTGAAACAAAATATATTCTAAGTGCATCTCAGCAAATTAGAAAAGCATTAAAAAGTTAATTTCAGTAATTTAGAACAAACAGGGAAATGTGTGTACGTTCATTAGACACCAAGTTAATAGTTCACGTGTGTAATTCTGCTCATTGTGACTGATTATGGCTTACTAGCTGATGAAAACCCAAAATCTTGTTTGTCTGATTAGAGTATTATGTATGATCAATGAAAAAAAAAAGAAAAGGAATTTAACACATAAATGTTAGACTGTGACCTAGACAATAATGGGGCCAACTGCTGAATTTTACCAAGACACAAAACTCTGTTAGCATGCTACCCATCAAAAATTTACAGTACAACATGTTCAATTATTGAAGCAAACTCTGAACAAGATGAAATTCTCAGAGGAAGTCTGCTGGAGAATTAAAACAAAAAAAAAAAACTAAAAAAAAAAAAAAAAAAAAAAAAAAAAAAAAAAAAAA